TGGGGGCCACTGTATCCATGGTGTCCAGTGTGGTCTGTAGCACTGTTCTTGCTACCAGCTAGCTCTCATGGATGATGGCTTTAAACTGTTCTCGTTGTGCTTCTGGCAAGTGGTCAATAAAGGTGCTGAGTTTCCCATAATTCATGTGGTCAGACTTTGCCATTAAGGCTTGGTAGTTTGAAATCCTGAATTGCAGAGATGCCGAGGAGTATGCCTTCCTTCCAAATAAGTCTAGCCTTTTCCAGTCTCTATCATACGGGGTTTATTTAGCATGTTGCTTTCCTCGCAAATTATCGGCATCTACAATAGAGTTAGGCTGAGGGTATATAAAAAAGAAAGTCTGCCTCTTCAGGGGGCACATAATACTCCTTGTCTGCCCTTTTACATGTCAGCACAATAGAGACTAGTGTCTGCCAGATAATCTTGGCAGGATCTAAAAGCATCTCGTTGACTGGGAGGGCAATGCAATATGTCCAGCAATTTGTGGTGAGTGTCCTTCACCTTTTCGAGAGTTATTTGTAATGTGTCAGCAACCCTCTAACCGATCCTGAAAAACCTTGATATTATTGGCCAGTAATGGCGGAGAGGGCATCACCACCTCAGCTAGTGAGGAGGAGATATTTGTCGGTGGTGTAGTCTCCTCTTGTAGTCCGGCCTCCTGCTACTCAAAAGTTTCCTCCTGAGGTTCTGGAGTTCTAGATACAGAGGCTGTAGGAGAGTGTCTAGTAGACTCTCTGTAGGAGACGTTAGATGCCTGAGAAGTATGGTGCCTGTATGCTGCCCACGAGTCCCAGTACGGCCATTCGGGTGGAGGAAAAGGCATGGGTAGTGGCACCCACATGTGGCCATACCAGGAGGGTTGGGGATCGGAGTGTGAGTGGGAGGGTCCTGGTTGTTGTAATGATGGGGCATGGTGCGAGGCCAGAGACATTGTAATATTGGTCACTTGACTCCTCATTGGAATAGGGTGCGACTTACAGAAAAGCTGGAGGCGAATGCCCCAGAGCCATTAGTCATTCTGGGGAGCAGGACATGCTCAGTACCAGAGCCCCGGTACTGAGTAGTAGGAACTCTGGAATCTCCACGATCATGATGTCCCTAGAACAGTGAAATTCCTGCGATACCGTCGTTGCAAACTACCGTCAGATGTTGCCGGTGCTGACTTATTGGTACCGACGATCTTTTATGAGGCGCGCAGTCCGATGCGGATTGTTTCGAGGCAGTTGGTGCCAAGGATTTCTTCATTAGTGCCGATTTTGCATAGGGGGCAGGGTCTCTGCTGTTATCTTTGGCAGACGGTGCTGCCACTTCAGAGCCTGTGCCCTTCAAGTTTTAAGGCATTATGGCAGAACTCGTACCCAAGGGTCCTGTGTCTTCTGGGTATCGTGTTTTGGAGCCGCTGGTGCCGAGGTGACCCCGATGGCAATGGGGATCTCCACTGGCTGGTCAGGAGCTCAGCTTGAGTGCTTGCATTTGAAGGCTCTGGGGATGATCTTCGCCGTCGGGGATTTGGCACAGGGGTCGGATGTGAGTTTAAGAGCACGCTCCATGAGGAGGCGTTTCAACTTTAACTCCCAGTTCTTTTGGGATCTAGCCTTCAATTGCTGGCAGAAGGAGCACTTCTGCAGAATATGAGCCTTTCCAAGGCACCGGACACAGCAGCAGTGTCTGTCCGTAACCAGTATTGCCTCCCTACAGGAGAGGCACCATTTAAAACTGGTGGAGCTGGGCATTCCCCTTGCAGGAGGCAATGCCCAAACGGGGGGGTGTGGGGGTGGGGGAGAGACAGGGATAGGAAGAAAGAAAAAAACTTTTTTTGTTGTGTTTTGGAAAAGTGAAAATGGAAGCTCCAGAAATGCTACAAAAACAAACTCTATAAGAAGCAATAAAACTAACCCCTATCAACTATAATGGAACACGAGGTAAGTAAACCAGATTGCTACTCACTATCTCAGGCCAAGAGCGGCTGAGAAGGAACTGAGGGCAGTTTGCCCACTCAGCGCTAGATAGCCTCAAGGAAGAGCAAGCAGGAGGGAGAGCAGGTACGTGGGCCAAATGGACACTGCTACCTAAAATCTCCAATCAGAGGTGCAGGGGTGCAGACACACCTATAGTGGAGCACCCATAGGGACACTACTCGAAGAAAATACTTCTTACCTACCTGACATAAGTGTTGAGGGTTAACGTTTGTAATGCTGCTTAGATATTTGGATGAAAGCAATGCAACAAAAACAAAAAGAATTTTCAGGCCCATAATCCAAAACAATTTAGCACCAGCCAATCCTGAAACCTTTGTAGCTATTGATATGATCTCTACAAGTATTTAAAAAGAGGTTCACACCTATGCAGATAGAACAGTCTGGAACGGCTATTATTAGCGTCTCTTACTAGAAGAGAAATTTAGGCTGAATTTCAGGAATGCTAAAATAGTGAGATATTAGCTTATGATGTGGTTTTTGTGAGGAAGTGGTATTAATCCCTTTCGCCTGTGACATTTAAAATTGGACTAGTCAAAGTACTAGAAAGTCATACAAGATCTAAGGATACCAGTAAAAGCAGCTAATATTTTTTTTTCCATTTCTAAATTCTGACTCATCCTAGGCATGCAAATTTCAACATACAGCTTGACAGGCCCTCCACCGACTCTCTTTCTGAGGAAGGTGCTTTGCTTAGTAGTGTTTTGTATTAAAGGAAATACAGATTAATTATCCTATTTTTGAAACCACCACCATAGCTGGTGAAGCACTGGAGAATGAAGCAAAACTTTTAGAAGTCCTTGTGAAAGCCTGAAATCTTAAAACTTAAGTAAGGCACAGCATCTCTTCAGTAGTAGAACTACCATGCATTACCTGGAATTGTGTGCAAAGCTTTCCTACACGCCAATGTTAATTGTCAAGGTTATACAGAATGTGCACACATACATGCCCACAGGGAATAGCAGGTAACATACACACAATGTGTCTTATGAAAATTTACTCTTGCTGGTAGAAAAATTAGTTGAAGCAGGCCGAAGCTCACAAAATGAAGAATGAGATAAGATGTTGAGTGATTTCATCCTGTTAAAGAAAAACCAGGAAACAACACCGTTCCAATGCCTATATTTTCATTAATCCAAAAGTATTTAAGTAAAGTATTCTAATGCCTGGGTTGAAACCAAATTCTTTTCTCAAATCCAAATGGGAGTTTAGCACTCAGGGCTCATTTGGAAAAGTAACGTGTGTATTTATCAAATCATTTTATGTCTACAAAAACTGGAATTAAAATGTGACCTCAGTTAGCTCACCATTTTACTAAATCCAACATCTTTATGTACAGAGATTAAAAAAAAATACACCCCTTCCTTGAAGTTTCTAGTGCTCTACTGATACCCACAATTACAACAGTGATCTTATATATCAATTACATGTTTCACCATTATTTGCAAAATCCTAGAACATTCTTAAGTAATAGGCAAAGAAACATGAAAGGCTGGGGCAAGCCAAGAAATATTTAAATATGCTAATACCAGGTTGCTAAACATCCGAGGTCTGAATACTCTTGAAGGAAAATGGTTTAATCTGTTGAATTGCCTTGTGGAATGTTGTTGGCTACCCATAAGAAAAGCCAAATTTGACGTACACAGGTTTACAACATAATCTGCATCAGAAAAGACCTGTCTAATGCATCATCTAGACCACACCATGCAGCGTGACAGGATAATTTTACTATTCTTAAACCAAACCTGAGAGAGATCAGTTGATTCTAATCTTCATTAGCTTCAGTCAAAGTGGTTCAACAGAGTCCCATGCATTTTTTTCCATTTCTTAACTATTCTAGGAGGGTGGTGAAGCACTGGAATACGTTACCTAGGGAAGTGGTGGAATCTCCATCCTTAGAGGTTTTTACGGCCCAGCTTGACAAAGCCCTGGCTGGGATGATTTAGTTGGGATTGGTCCTGCTTTGAGCTGGGGGTTGGACTAGATGACCTCCTGAGGTCTCTTCCAACCCTCATCTTCTGTGATTCAGTTAAACATTTTGTTAATATTCAACCAAAATTCTCTGCTGCACTCTTAAGCCTGTGCCTTTGTGGTTTGTATTCCTTGCCTAATCTGCCATCCTTGTTTTATGTGGTTATAGGCCACCCTGTCTACTTTCAGCCTTCTCTCTCTAGAGAAGATGCCCAACTGAAGCTTTTCTCACAGATCTTAGTTTAAAATATTTTAAATAATTTTATTGCTCTTTTCTGCACTATTTCAAATTTGTCCATTTTAAAATTCTGTGCTCAAAACCAAATATCTCTCACACGGGGATATTTGGCACCAAGAAAGTGGTTGACAACTAGTTGGAAGATTCCTCCCAGCTGTGGATGAAGTAGTTTTGCAATCTCTGGATTGCTGGATGCACTGAACAAAGTATTACAGTACTAACTCATACAATTTGTCATACTAAATTATTTTACCAATAGCTCCCTTTCATCCTAAAGCATTTTATAGAACCCCCAAACCATTCAGTATGATCTGCATCCCTCTAGTTCAGTGGTTCTCAAACTGAGTCGTGAATTTTAATGGCGCCACCAGGGCTGGCGTTAGACTTGCTGGGGCCTGGGGCCGAAGCAGAAGCCCCGATCCCCACTGCCCAGGGCTTCAGCCCTGGGTGACAGGGCTGAAGTTACAGACCCCCTACCCGGGGCTGAAGCCCTTGGGTTTCTCCTTTGGCCCCCTGCCCTGGGTTGCATGGCTCAGGCTGTCTCAGGCTTTGGTCCCCTCTCCGGGGAACCAGAAGGCATTGTCAGAAGGGGATCGTGGTGCAATGAACTATGAGAACCCCTGCTCTAGTTTGCACCTGTGTTTGTTTGATCCTTCCCTCTCATACAGCACTTACATTTGTCCTTGCTGAATTCATTTTAAAGATTTCAGAGAGTTTCCCTATTTTAGCAAGGATAGTCTACACTATGGAGAATATCACTGATGGGAGAGTGGCTATACAGCAATTAGAAGCATGATCCAATTTAGAGTTCTTACCTCCCCATGTACCTCCTACTTGTGGCCCAGTGGATATAGGATGTACAGATGGATGAAAGGTTGGCTGCAAATCAAGTAGATCATTTGGCAGCTTTGATGTGCTACAGAGACAAATTAGGACAACTGTTTGAACTGTATCAAATAGTTTTCAATACAAGGCAGCATTTTCAACTATTATGAACAGATTCACTAAACATTAAGGGGACATAACTATAGCAGTTTGTTTTTAATTTCATGGGGAATATTTTTGGATTGTAAACATAGCGAGCTCAATTCTCTGCCATGCTAAAGCCCCTCTGTGCCAATCCATCAGCACATAGCAACCATAAGCCTGGTGGGTATAGCCTACTGATTTCTCACACTCTCCTCAGACCCTGATGTCCAAATGTGGCCAGAGAGTGCCTGCACTCCAATGATGCCCAGCTCACAAAAGTGACCTCACAGGGGCTACTGGTAGCAAGTGGCAGCTCTAAACTGTGCCAGGAAATCCAACTTTGACACAGAACTTGTCCCAGACTGGAACTACAAATGGCTCCTCTGTGACCACTCCTCAGCTACACCATCATTTATTGAGTACAGCTGAGAATTTGGCTCAATGACTATAATGCTGATAAACTTTTTTAAAGCTTTTGAAGTTTTTTAAACACTGGCCAGAGCTGTACTGTCATCAGTGATACTGATGCATAAAAAAAGGTAAATTTAATTACCTCTCCATTGGAAACAGATTCAAACCCCAAGAAGTGTCAAGCCCCAAAACTCATTGAGGGGAAGAGGAAATATTTCCTTGGTTAATACATGGAAATGGGGAGAAGGGCACACAAGTCATTATAGCAATTGGATTTAAGATGTCAAGTATCTTTCAAACAATGGAGAGGAAAAAACATTTTAATGAGCCCTCTTAAGTTCATAAGATTTTACAGTTACAATACATTTCTTCAAAACTCTGGAGTAGTGTGTCCATCCAGGTCCTAATCATATTTTTACATATAGTACATCAAGAGTTCAAGTCTCCTTTAATCACCAGCAATATAGGAGACAGAATAATAAATACTTTTAAACCCAGTGCACAAAATCACTTAAATCCAAGTTATGTTGGCAATACTTTTTAAGTGAAAAGGTTAATCTAACTTTTGTACTGGTGCCCATCACTGTAGTATCTGATGACTTCTCAGAGTAAGTAGATTAGGACAGCAGGGGTCCCTAATTGAAATTCAGGGAAGCTTCTGCTCTAATCCAAATTCTACTCTCAGAATTCTACTTGGGGTAATTTTTTGAAGTGAGAGAGAGAAGAGGAATTCTATTCTTTCTATCTAAAGATTATGGGAGAAATGTGACAAATATAGACAATGCATAACATCTAGTAAACCATAGAAATAAATTCCTTTCTATGCTCTTTTGCCTGTATTTCAGTTAAAGTAATATGCATTAAGTATGTGATGAGTCGGAAGAAGAGATTCTTTACCTGCATACTAATTTGCGTTTTGAGATGCTTTGTCCCTATGGGTGTTCCATCGTAGGATGCGTGCGCACCAGTGTGCTCTCAACTGGAGATTGCAAAGCAGCGCCCATGGGACTGTGCAGAGCAGTTCCTCATGCTCCCATATGAAGTCAAATAGGGAAATGCGGACCCACCACCACTCAGTTCTTCCTCAAGCCCAAAGCCAGAGGGGAAGGAAGGCAAGAGGTGGAGTCCATAGGGACAAAATAGCTCAAAGAACTCAAGTCACTCTCCCTTGAGTTTATGTCTCTATGGGCGCTCCACTGTAGGAGACCCCCCAATAGTAACTTAATGTGGAGGTGGGCGCTAAGGAGGCAGGCGCAAAACAGTTCAGAGGACTGCATCATCAACTGTTGTTTCAGTTCTAGAAGCAGGTAAGACAGCATAATGCTTGGGAAACATAAGGATGGAGGACCAAGTTGCAGACCTGCACATATCTGCTACGGAGAGCTTTTTGGAAGGGCTATAGACATGGACTAAGTGCTAGTGAAGTGTGCTGTCACTCAGAGTTGTATTCCAGCAGTCTCACAGCATGTTAAGATGCAACTTGAGACTCACTTCACGCAGTCTGTGTGTGAAAATTGGTGGTCCCTTCATCCTCTCCACAAAAGATAGAGATAGTCTCGGAGAGCCGCTGAAAGTCTTAGACCTGTAAAGGTGGAAGGCGAGATGTCCTCCTGACATCTAGTTAGTGTATATAGGCTAGTTTCCTCACTGGAGGCATGAGGCATTGGATAGAATACTGGTAGATGGGTTTCCTGATTAATATGGTATTCCAAAGAGACCTTAGGGAGAAAACCAGGATGGAGATGTAGGGTAACTTTACCTCTGCAGAAAGTAGTGAATGGTGGTTCTGTCATGAGAGCACCGATTTCTCCCATTCATCTAGTCTAAGTGATGGTTATAAGGAATGAAGTCTGAGGGAGAGGAGGAGGAGGAGAGAGCAGGTAGCCATCGGTTTGAAGGAGGGTTTCCACAGGGCATCAAGAACCAAATTTAGATGCCATAGGGGGGCTGGGTTCCAAACAGGAGGAAATAAGTGGTGAGCGCCCTTAAGGAATCTGGTCATGGGAGGAACTGAGTGCAAGGAGGAGGATTCAAGGTCCCTAAGTTCTATGACAGTAGATCCCTCCTGAGGGGAAGGCGGAGAGGCACTGAAGAGAGGTGAAGGAGGTTCAAGTACCACACCTGTCTTGGCCAGGACTGTGCTATGAGGATAACCTTCACTCCTTCCTATTCCAGTTTGAACAAGGTCTGGAGAATTAGAGGTAGAGGCAGGTAAGCATATCGCAGGGTATGGGGCCACGGTGTTCTCAGGGCATATCCCAGCAGTATCCTCCTTTGGAGCAGAAAAGGTGACATTTTGTGTTGATTGGAGTAGCAAATAAGCCTTCTTCTAGGAGACCCCAGGTTTGGCAGATGCTGTGGAAGACAGTTGCTGAGTTCCCTTTTGTGGTCCTGATGGAAGTTCCTGCTCAGGGAGTCTGCAATCATATTCTGGAGACCTGCTAGATAGACTGCAAGTGTTTTCCATAAAGTACATGTAGGCAATAGTATAACCTTATTGACTGGTAGGGACATCTTTCCTTGGGGGGTGATATTTAAAATATCCACCAGGGAGTGTTAGAAGAGGTCAGGATTCTCAACAGGATCTGGAGGGATTCCACCTTGTGTTTCATTAGGTCCTGGAAGGCCCTAAAGTCACCAGCATAAAAGAACAGTGGTGGTATTACCACCACGGAGGAAGAGGACTTGGCTGATGGGGGTGAGGTTTCCTCAATCTGTGACGCCCGTTCATCTTGCGTGTCTCAGTACCAAGGGAGCAGACTGTGCTGGAGGATAGTCTGTCAGACAATGATGTGGTACTGGCAGGTGTTGAGTTTTCTTTTTGGCTGGTACCCTTTAAAACTGCTCGTGAAAGTGTCCCCAGGAGTTCCAGTAAGCCCATTGAGCAGGGAAATGTCCCCAAGTGTATTTACAACTGCTAGGTCTAGAATGTCTAGCAGGCTCTGAAAAGTTCTCTTCAGTATAAGAGCTTAGAGGAGTATGCTGGTACAGTATCAAAGAGCCCTGTACCGATACTTCAGAGTCAGAAACAATATTCTCCTCCAGGCTGAAGAGGGGGCTTCTAGCATTGGTGTTAGTACCAAGGGTAGGGGTTCTGATCCTGGTCAGATGAAGAGGGGTTCAGGCTGCAGATGTCAGAGCAGTACCGGGGAGGTGAGGGGGACTGACTCTTGTGGAGCTCCTTAAGAGAGGAGACTCCAGTTCCTCCAATATAATACAGTCTCCGGGGTCGAGAAATCTAGAATGCTGGAGGACTATGGTAGCCTGATGCAGCCGGTACTGGGGCCTGGAACAGGGATCAGTACCAATCAGGAGATGGCCTCTCGGGTACCATATACAGTGACACCAGTCTGAGTGCTCTTTATGGCTCTGAGATGAGGATGACATCAGGGTTCACGTAGAAATGCTGTGTGCATCTTGGTGCCTAGATGTGTCAGGAGGTATTGAGGTAGGTACTTTGTGCTACCTGGTAGATATCTGATCCTAGCTACTTAGGCAGTACTGATGCCTTGGTATCAATTTCAGCAAGGTCTCTCGGCAATCAGATTTATGGGGCAACTGATCCCTTTTCTTTGATTGCCTGACAGAAAAGAGAAAGAAGCCTCTCTTCCAAGTCTTTATCTGTGGAACGGTTGTTGGGGCTCCTACAGTCACTGGAGTGGCCTGACATGTTGACCCCACACTGTAGCTAGGGAGCACTACATCAGGAGGAGCTTCAACCTAGCACATCTATCCTTTCAAGACTTGTCTTTGAATCCCGTGCAGACCTTGCACTTTGACAGCACATGGGTGTCTCCAAGACACCAGACACAGCTGGAATGCCTATTGCTATGGGGAGAAGACCTGAGACAGCTCTGACAGGGCTTGAACCCTGGTGTCTTCACAGCATAACCCTGAACATCAGAGTACTAAAGCAAAGGTTCAGCAAAATAAATGAGGCGGGAACCCCCTTTTTAAAGTACAACTGTGCTGAAATACCAGAACAACAACAAATGAACTAAACAACAAACAAAAAAGAAGGGAATAAGAAGACATGCACAGCAAGTGAAAGGCAGGAAGCTGTGAAAACAGCAGACCCTGAATGCTCTGTTTCAAGCCGCAGGTGGGTGAGAAGGAACTGAGTGGTGGAAGGTCCACACCTCTCTCTAGGCCCTGGTATGGGAGCATGAGGGTGTGGGCCTGCAGACACTGCTTTGCAATTTCTGATCAAGAGCGCACAGGCACATGAGCATCCTATGGTGGAGCATCCACAGCAGGGACATTTACTCAAAAAAGAATACAGCATTTCTAGATGCTGTTCATCTGGATTTGAAAGCACTGCAACCTGTATTATAGCTTGTATAGAATGATAAAAGTATACTTAAGTGATATAAATTTCCAGATAAACACAACTCTTAGTTTTCGGATAATATGCTTGTTTTTTGAATTAATCTAACTTCCTATGAACTGGCTCATTTTATAGTTACTGCCCAACTTTAATGGGATACCATAAGTTACATCAGTATGCTCTCTTCAACGCACTCTGAAGTGCAGCATTAGTGGGTCCGGTAGATCAGCAGGAATAGAACTATGTTGCCTACCAAGAGACTCAAAATCTAAGCGCCCAAAGATATGCACCATTCCAATCTGAAGGCAGACATGCCTTTGGCCATAACTGAAGATATTAATTAGAAAATTCTTTAGGATCCTTTGTCAGCCTATCAATACACTGGCACTGCTGGGATCCACTCTACTACGCTCGCTTAACCAGAAAAAAAGGAAATGAGAGAACATTAAGAAAAAAAGGAAAGTAAAATCTGACGCATAAGACTACTACTCAAGGTATGTTCTTGAAATACTTTATCTCAGCAATGAGAGAGAGGGTCAGCAGAATTGTATTTTGTAACATATATTTTGAAAAAAACTAAAGTAGGGTAGAATAGATTAAAACACTTATGAACTTTTCATCGGCAAATGATGTCTGTCTATAATGTAACTTTTCTGGCTGTTAAAGTAGCTTTGCCAAAGGTTGGGTTTCAGATAACTATCGGTGTGACTAACAAATGTTTTTGGATATCCAACAAATAAAATTACATCTGATCATTTTAAATGCTTTGTCCTTTATCAAGGAAGAAACTCAAATGCCATATACTCTTCTGTTTTTACCCTCGTGACTTCCGGCTACTAACACCAACTGCTCATTTCTGTAATTCTGAATGTGTTTTTTGATTCAGATACTTGCTAAATGGTTGGTGTCCTATAAATCATTTCCTATATTTGTCGTCTAGTGGGAAATAAAGCCTACCAGAGTGCAAACAGTTTTTGAAGAACAGCAAAGAGAGAAGAGAGGAAATGTGCACGTTCCCCTGTGAATTCCACAGCAATGGTTAAACGTTCTTTGGGTTCAAATCCTGACCAAGTCCCTGAACAATATGGCACTATTTTGTATGACTAAGGGCATGTCTACACTACAAACTTAAGCTGACCTATGTTAGGTCGACTTACAGCCACCACAGTGAATCACTGCAGTGATTCATGTCCACAAGACCCTCCTTCTGACAGTTATGCACATCCTCACCAGGAGTGCTTCCACAGACTTCAGAGGGGTGAAGGCGGATCTGAAAGCCCAGGCTCTCAGCTCCATGCACAGCTCCCCAGAGGGAGCACGGCTGCCCCCCACCCTTGGTTCTCGGATCCTCACCAGGAACCTGGACATGAGCCTGGCGGGGAGCAGGGAGCCCAGGCAGTAGTCCAGCGGGGATCCCAGGGGGCAGCCCATCTGGGAGCAGGGAGCCAGAGGCAGCCTGGCTCCAAGCAGGGAACCCGGGCAGCATGTCGGCTGGGAGCCTGGAGCCCCAGGTGAGGGTGGGGTGCAGCTGGGCTCTAGCTGGAGCCCCATGGTGACAGCCCGACTGTGATCAGCCTTCTTGACAAGAATGACAGCCAACAGCCAAAGTAAGTAACCAGCAGTGTCTATACGGACACTGCATCACCCTAAGCCCTACACCTCTTGTGGAGGTGGAGTTATTATATCGATGTAATAGGGCACTTACATCGGTGGGAGCAATGCTGTAGTTTGTACACGGACATAATTAGGTTGACATAAGCTGCCTTATGTCCATCTAACTTTGTAGTGTAAACCAGGCCTAATAGTATTTTTATAAACTAAGCCCAGAATGGAACAGCAGGAACCATTGGTATGGGAGACCAGGACAAGCATTAAGTAATTCTCTGTGACAGAATTTGCATAGCTCCTTTACCCTAGTGGCACTCACCCCTTCATTCAAACTCCTGCCCTCAAATTCTCTTCTGAAACACCCACTAATGGTCACCCACATCAGTAACCCATTTAAAAAATACAGATGAGAGATTAATTAAGCACCATCCTCTGGACCCATCAGTGAGAATTTATATCTGACCTTTGCCAATCTATTTAGTAAGGTCCTTGAGGGCAGGGAGTACATGTGCTGAGCATAACTGGCATTTAGATTAACAAGAAGAATCACAAGGGTCATTAAACAGCTTGTTATCAAATTAATCTGAAGAGGGAGGAAAAATTATTTCTACGTCATGCTTATATGAATGGGATGTTCTCATTGAAATACCTATCAAAAATCACTTATGGATGGATTCTAGGTAAGAGTAAATTTTTCCAACACACAATGGCAGTGCAGCTGGATGAATTCAGCTGGAGCTAACTAATAACTGAAGCATAACTACTGAAACATACCTGTTCGAAGAGCTAGGGGTGGAAAAAATATCAATGGCTGGGGTGGTCATTATGCTTCCCGCTGCAGTAGACACGGGAGAGGCTGCTGTCGTTAAAGAGGTATGAGGTTTCTTTGCAAGTTCTTTTAGACGTTGTTCCTGTTGGGAAAGTGAGCTGGCATAAGAAATCCAGAAACAAGGTTTGTTTATATGGCTTCTGAATAAAGTAAAACAAAACTCTAAAGAATTCTCTTTACTTATTTCATACAATAAGATGGCAGTCAAGTATGACTGTCTATTTCCATACAGAAAGAAAAGCCAGTACATTTGCAGGATTAAAGAGGTTACATGCCTGTTTTAGAAACTGAATAACTGATAATGGGAAAACTCTCCACAACTTTTATGACATATTAGAAGAAACTCCAACGAGATGCATTCGCACAGTACGTGTGATTACAAAAGTGACCTTAACTTTTCTGTAAACAGGAAACCACCTACCTTTAAAGCTTTTAAACGAGCTTGCTCTTCCTCTAATGCAGCTTGTTTTTCCCTTTCATCCACTTTGGTGAGAGACAGGCCAGTGCTTGCAAGGGAAGAGACTGCATTGGAAAGTGTGGTAGCCCTGATAATTGAACAGGGGGGAAAAAAACTGGTTGTTCATATATGTGTCACATGATGGGAACAGCTGATACGAAAATGCTTTGCTTGTTTTTTCTCAGTTTCTTTATAGAATTTGTAATCTTAGCCTGTATGACACACAAATCTGAGATTATATATAAAGTGTTACTTTAAAAAAATGAAATTACGTTAATAAATTATTGCAGTGCAAAATTTAAGTGCCTATACTGCAAAATAGGAATGTGTAGAAATGGTGCTATCTACTCTCTTGTACATTGGCTCTGTGATCACTCCCCTTAGATATGCCCCTTCCAAGCTGCCTCATATGAATTCATGTTGTAGATTTTTTCTGTTCCTCTGTTAATTTATGAAAATTCAACTTAAAATGCGAGATTTGTACGTTTTGTGGAGGAATAGAAAGTTCTGGTAAGTTATCTACTATTTTCAAATACAGTTAAATTAAGCAAGCTATCTGGCTCAATTATGAGACTATGTGCTTGATACAATGCATTACACTCCCAGGCAAAAGAGTTTTCACAGATTCCAAGGCCAAAAAGGACCATTGTGATCATCTAGGGTAACCTCCTGTTTAACACAAGCCATAGAAGTTCCCCAAAATGATTTCTAGAGCATGTTTTAGAAAAACGTCCAATCTTGACTTTAAAATGATTAGTGATAGAGAATCTACCATGACCCTTGGTAAATTGTTCCAATAGCCAATTCCCCTCACCATTAAATGTGTGTACCTTATTTCCAGTCTGAATTTGTCTAGCTTCAACTTCCAGCCACTGGACCATGTTTCACCTTTCTCTGATATACTGAAGAGCCAATTATTAAATATCCGTTACCCGTGTAGATACTTAAATGCTATAATCAAGTCACCTGTAAACGTTCATTTTGTTAAGCTAAATAGATTGAGCTCTGAGTCTCTCACTATAAGGCAGGTTTTCTAATTCTTTAATCAATCCCATGGTTCTTTCAAATTTGTGATCACATTTTAAAAACATAATGGGAAAATAAACAGTTAGAAAAAAATTTGGTTTGACAAATCTGGTTTTACTTTTAAGATAGACCAGCGGATCTCAAACCGTGCATCAGGACCCCAAAGTGGGTCTCGACCCCGTTTTAGGGGCCAACGCCCGAAGGATTCAGCCCTGAGCAGCAGGACTCAGGTTACAGGCTCCTTGGCTGGGGCTGAAGCCTTTGGGCTTTGGCTTTGACCCCTACCCAGGTCAGTGGGGCTCGGGCTTTGGCTCCCCCACCTGGGGCAGTGGGAATCAGACTGACTCAGGCTTTTGTCCCCCGTCTTGGGGTCGTTTAGTAATTTTTGTTGTCAGAAGGGGGTCGCAGTGCAATGAAGTTTGAGAACCCCTGAGAGGAACAAAAAATGTTATTTTAAATACTCCAGTAAAAAATTAACCAGTTAGATTTTATTTTACATTATTGTAATTTTGACAGTACAGGAAGAGGACAAAATCATTGAAAACTAGCACTAACCTACTAAAATTTAGTTTTAAAAGTTACAGTCTTATATTTTAAGGTTAATATAAACATGTTACATGGAAGTGAAATTTTTAATTTTGTTTTTCTTAAATTTTAGTAGCAACACAACAAAGAACAGATGACTGTCATGATTTTATCGCCAAGGACATTCCCAAAGAACCTCCAATTCCCTAGACTATTTTGCATTTTAACAAATGTTACAAAAGCAGTGGGCCCATTCATCAACATTGCTGCCACCACTTTTTATGCTATTCAGTGCCTGATCACACATGTATTTCGTCTCTTTATTTCAGTATTTTTCTGAGAAACAAAAGGACAACTTGAGATATTAAAAGACGTAATGAAGAGCATGCATATGTGTTGAGTATTTTACAGAAATACCAACATTGGTTTATAAGAACAATCTAATTAATAGTATGGAAAATTAAAGATTTCCAAGCAGCAAGCAAAGGCACCAAAAGTTACAGAGTCTCAAGGTGAAGTCTGAAAGTTCTACCATTATGAAGGCTTCTGCCATTATGTGAATTGTTCTCAGTTCTGTCTACTCTAGTTGCACTACATTTAGGCCTGGTCTACAATACAAAGTTAGGTCGACATAAGCCTACTTGTGCATTTGTCTACATTTAATGTCTCCCACTGATGAAAGTGCCCCATTATGCCAATGTAATTACACAAGCTCCCTGAGCGGCATTAAGCCATGCTTGATGTTCAGAGGTCAACGCAGCGCAGGTGTAGACACTGCATTACTTATGTCAACCCTAGAAGTTCTCCAGCAGCTCTCTCTCAATGCCAGACACTGACCGCTCTGGCCACAATTGTGAACTCCACTACCCAGGGGTCACGTACACCTCCAGCTCCCCCTCAAAACCCTATTAAAACCCCTGCAATTTTTTGAAATGCCTTTTCCTGGTTGCACAGGATGGTGAGCACACCTCTATCTGCTTTCCATTATTGTGCGAAACTGCCTGGCTGACCATGCTGGCTACATACTCCAAATGCACTCCTGCCTAGAGTAGACAGGAGATAATGGATCTCTTGGGCCTGTAGGGAGAACAGGCTGTGCAAGCATAGCTCAGAACAAGCTGTAGAAACGCTGACATCAATGAGCAGATTGCTTGGGGGATGAAGGAGAAGGGGTACATGGACCAGCAGCAGTGCGCTAGAAGAGGTAGTGGTAGAAGTAGTGGTATAACAAAAGGGTAGAGTTGCTATCTGCTTTTCATTCCCATCTAGAGTTAGGCAGTTTGTTTATGTACACAAGAATGACCCTTGAATCCTCCTGAGAGATGTTGATGAAACTTCCACAGAAGTACACCGCAATCCTCTCTCAAAGCTTTTCTAGGGATGGCAGCCTTATTTCTTCCCCCACGGAAGGACGCTTTCCCTCAGCGATTACTGCAATGGGGCCTGCAGAAGTTAACAGGCTACTGGCATAAGAGGATGGAGCTCATCGGATAACCCTTGTGTCTGGCTGATCAAATTCAGCAAACAGCCGTTCCATTCCACCCTCCACCCCTTTGGCAAATTTTCTCCCAGGGCTTCACAGATATTATGCAGGACACAACAGTCAACTATAACCAACGGGATATTTTTCCCCACAGATCCAGTCTAATGAGTAAACAATGCCAACGACACTTCAATTTATCAAAAGCATATTCAACTATCATTGTGCACCTGCTGAGTCTGCAGTTGAATCTTTCCTTGCTGTTGTCAAGGTGGCTGGTGTATGGCTTCATGAGCCAGGGGAGTTAAGGGGTCAGCTGAGGAGTTAAGAAGGAAAGAAGCAGACGCAGGGAGCCAAGTATGCACACAGACAAGCAATATAGTTACTGTAGCAGTTGTCTGCTGATGTAACTTGAATTGGCAAAACTTTGTACTGTAGACATGGCCTGAGACTGGAAAGCTTTATGTTGTTTAACCAACAAATACTATGCTATCAACAGCACCAAATTAATCAACTGTTTCAGTGCTGCAACAGCAACATAATGTTCATTTCAACACAACCCATACAAACTATTTCAAAGTAAGGAACCTAACATTTGATTCTTAACACAACTGTATAAGAGGACAAAGGCACATATACCTGCTTGCAGCTGTGGAGTCTTTGATTTTCTTTCCTTCTAAAGAGGCTAAATGTTGTTCCAAAGCATCAAGAAGACTGCTTGGTGCCTGCAAAAGGGCAGTGAGGGCATAGATATGAAAAATCCAAGACAAAACCAGGCACCAGCTAAAAAAAATAAAAAAGAAAGGTATGATCCTGTCACCACAGTGCCAGAGAATGCAACTGAGGGTAACCGGACATGGTCTACAGCTCAAAATATTGACACCACAGTATTTTGACACTAAGAACATAACTTGGGCAAAGTATTTTATATTATCAGGTGGTACAATATCATCCACTACCATGCCAGTTCTATTACTCATGATTAGGGCCCTACCAAATTCACAGTCCATTTTGGTCAATTTCATGGTCACAGGATTTTAAAATCATAATTTAATGATTTCAGATATTTAAATCTGAAATTTCATGGTGTTGTAACTGTAGGGGTCCTGACCCAAAAGGGGGTAGTGGGGGCATTGCAAGGTTATTGTAGATGGGGTCATGGTATTGCCACCCTTACTTCTCCGCTGCTGCTGGCAGCAGCACTGCCTTCAGATTTGGGCAGCCAGAGAGCAGCATTTGCTGGCTGGGAGCCCAGCTCTGAAGGCAGCGCCACCGCCAGCAGCAGCATAGAAGTAAGGACGGAATGGTATGGTATTGCCACCCTTACATGCTGCCTGCAGAGCTGGGCCCTCGGCCAGCCGCTGCCAATCTCCAGCCGCCCAGCTCTGCAGGCAGCACAGAAGTAAGGGTGGCAGTGCCACGACCCCCCTACTATAACCTTGCAAACCCCGCCCCATGACCCTCTTTTGGGTTGGGACCCCCAGTTTAAGAAACACTGGTCTCCCTTGTGAAATCTGTATAGTATAGGGTAATAGTACACACAAGATCAGATTTCATGGTGGAGACCAGATTTTATGGTCCGTGACACATTTTTCATGGCCGTGAATTTGGTAGGGCCCTTCTCATGATGGTGCCTATCAAAAAAGCAATCCATGAAAATGTTGGAAAATAAACACGAAGAAAAGGCATAAAGAAAACAGACAATTGAAATGAGTAGTCTATGTTCCAACTGAGATTAAAAAGGAAGCTGTACCCATCTGAGGCAATACACACATACACAAACTGGAAGTCTTTACAAGTAACCAACTGATACTTTGAAGCCTTCTGCTTAGAGTAGCCACCTTGCTAAGGGATCTCATTTGTGAAAGCTGCATTACGTAAGCCTCTACTACAAACAGATCAGTTTCCATCATACTTTAAAAATGGTTTCAAACTTAGGAATTTCATGTTTCTTCAAATATTTGATTTTAATTCTCTATTTTCTGCTCTCAAAATGATATTAATTTGACAATTGTAATATATTACAACTGTAATTAGTTTGCATTTTCACACATTAGGATCCTGGAATTTGTGAGTGAAAGACTTTCTGGTTAGAGTTCAATTTAGTCACGACTCATCTCAGAATTTAAGAATATGGTGATAATGTATGCAAGAAAACCAATGCATGACTCCACATTTTTCTGAACATGCAACCCAAGAAAGAAACAAACATGTATTCACATATGCATAACAGTTTATGTACCTGAGAAAGATCTGGTATGTCTCCTCTGTCGATTCCAACTTGCTGTAACAAAACAGATTTATGAGCTTTAGAACTAACTAGTGTTTATTTAAAGATTACATTGCTAAAAAGGAGAAATCACGTTAACGTGCTGTCATGCAAGGAAAGCAAAAATCCTCTGTACTCTTTTTAGTTTACATAATTTGAGCTCTAAATTTTTAGATTAAAACAGATGTAAAAAAAAAATCAAAGGAAATCAAAGTAAAATATATGTATACATTAGGCTGTAGTGAGTTTAAAATGTTACCAAACCTAAGTTTGGAGTGCCCTTCCTGATGGTCCACAGAAGAGATTTTGAGAACCAAGCAGGTGATGGTTTGTGTAGGAAGGGAAATTCATGAGAGCATTTCTCTTACAAAGTAGATTACAGAACGCAAGCATTGAGAACTACTGACACAGTACGTATTTGGAAGTACAAAAATAGTATATTGCATTGATACAGCCTCTTTTATCCTCCAAGTTCCAAATCACTCTACAAGCTATACAACATAGACATCGTAACTGAACAGCAGCCATCCCTGTTGTAAAACATCATATGGGTTTCACAGTGCAGATTGACACTACACAACAGTTTAGAACCGTCAAGTGAGGATAAGTACCATATCAGACAAACTGCAGGGAGAATTTTAGATAGGCAGAACGTAATTACCCTTTCTGGAATTTGACCAGGACACTTAGATTAGCACTCTACTGCTCAGACTGAAACCTCGCTAGTTCAGCAAAGCTTCAGAAGAATGCATGCTGCTACCCACTGAATCAACAAGAAAAACCAAGAAAAAACACACTGCACACAACAGAAGTTTTTTAGATGCTGTAAAACTCCTTGTGAAATCCCCTATCATCAGCTTCAGCCATTGCTTTCTCATTTAATGTTGATCCTCAAATTCTTTCATCCCTCAAGTTTGACATAGCAGAATTGATGGTGCCAAACAAAAAAGGGCTAGACATTGTCTCTCAGAAAGAAAAAGACCACCACACACACTTTTCTTCTTCCTAAGTTTACTTTTAAAGAAAACTAAGCACAGCTGTATTTTGTGTGTGTATACAAGCAATGTCTCCCTGGACCACAGTAGCCACTAGCCCTTTATACAATAGGACATTTATATGTTTATTCTTATATCCTCTTCTCAGCAAAGAAAAGCTACTTCTCAGCAAAGAACTGTAAAAATTTTTATTTCTTTCAATATGCAGGCCCTTATTGAGCTTGTCCCCTTGTTATTAAACTCTGATAAAATGCTCCTTGATGGACATTAAATCTGCCAAATGGAAAGGAAATGTAGCTGCTTTATCAGAGTTAAGTATTTTATAAACCGTTTGAGCATGAGGGCAATTTTGGCATAGTAAGGTTTACCTCTGCAACTTTGAGGAACTCTGAGATCCTTGTCATTCTAGTGAGAAACTTCTTATATATGTCAAGGCCTTCTTTGCACTGGTTTTTTTTCATGTCAAAGTATTTTTCTGAAAATGGGAAAGTATTCAAAAGTCACATAAGAAATAAATATACTGTATATATTTTAAACAGAGAGCAGGTACAAGTAACTATAATGCAAGACAAGTTACTTCACTCATCACTATGAAAAAAAAGTATCTGCAGCCTTGTTTCTTCACTTTTCCACGTTAACGGTGGAGGCCACTATGATACCGTATGAGAGATGGAAAAGCAGGCAAGATTAATATTGGAGTCAATGCTTATGCTGGCCAAGATAAAGACACAAATTAATGATTTTTGTACATTTTCCCTTCTCCAGAACTTGATGTTTTTGGTTCAGTCTCCCTGTTTAACATGGTCAGAGATTTTAGTGCATATATCTATATCTGGAAATCAAGTAAGGAAACCCCAATGCCAAGCCACAAGGTTATCTGACAAACATAAAAAGTTGGTCAAATAGGTGGAGTTACTAGTAGGCTGTTTACAGAGGTAGCTGTAACAATGATCACAAATTAACTTCCTCCCACCAGTTAAAAAATACCAAAGTGGGTGTGACTGAATTGAAGCTGCTCTGTAATTTCTGAATACTGTATGTTGACCTGGTTATTGGGATTTTTTCCTCCGCAAACACTTGTGGGTTGCTAGGGACAATCCTTGAACTGTTAGCTTTGAAGATTTTACCTACTTCCTAGCCAACCTGAGAAACCAGTATTGTACCAGAAAGGCCAAAGCCCAGGAACACAAAGAAAAAAAAAACATGCCCATTTAAAAAGGCTTGTTCCCTCAAGAGAAAACAGAGTTTGGGGGAGCCAGAATGAGCCAAACATGCTGGGGTGGCTGAAGAAGTTCAAAAGAACAGGACTACTTGTGGCACCTTAGAGACTAACAAATTTATTTGAGCATAAGCTTTCATGGGCTACAGCTCACTTCATCGGATGCATAGAATGGAACACACGGAAAGAAGATATTTATACATACAGAGAACATGAAAAGGTGGAAGTAGCCATAAGAAGTTAGGTCTGCCTAGTTTACTACCAGGAATAAGCTGCTAAAATAAGTCATTCCTTTTAACTTAAATTTTAATATTACTTACAGGTTTAAGTTTCTCTGCCCCTCCAGCGTTGTGGCACATTAAAAGATATAAATAATTCAGCCTTTAAGGCATACTCTGTGTGTAGGGCCCTACCAAATTCACGGTCCATTATGGTCAATTTCATGGTGATAGGGTTTTTAAAAATCATGAGTTTCATGGTTTCAGCTATTTAAATCTGAAATTTCACGGTGTTGTAATTGTAGGGATCCTGACCCAAAAAGGAGTTGTATGGTGGTTGCAAGGTTATTTTTTTGGGGGGTGGGGGAGGGGTGTTTGCGGTACTGCCACCCCCACTTCTGCGGTGCTGTCTTCAGAGCTGGGCAGCTGGAGAGCGGTGGCTGCTGGCTGGGAGCCCAGCTCTGAAGGCAGAGCCACCACCAGCAGCAGTGCAGAAGTAAGGATGGCATGCTATGGTATTGCGACTCTTACTTTTGTGCTGCTGCTAGCAGGGTGCTACCTTCAGAGCTAGGTGCCTGGCCAACAGCTACTGCTCTCTGGCTGCCCAGCTCTGGAGACAGCGCAGAAGTAATGGTGGCAATACCATGACCCCCCTGCAACTCCCTTTCAGGTCAGAACCCCCAATTTGAGAAACGCTGGTCTCCCCCATGAAATCTGTATAGTATAGGGTAAAAGCACACAAAAAAACAGATTTCATGGGGGAGACCAGATTTCATGGCCTGTGATGCATTTTTCGTGGCCGTGAATTTGGTAGGGCCCTATCTATGTGATAGATCATGCTATCGTTTAGAGCAGGTACTCATTTCACAGGGATAAGCAACAACATAAAAACCTTCATAGCCAGCCAAATATAATACATACAAAAAATTATAAACATTATTAGAATTAAGTTCTAACTATGGAAGTTAAACTCTCTATGCTTCTTTAACAATTCACAGTGGAGAAAAAACTGTCAATTTTGCTATTTGATTTTGAGTCGAGGTTCTCAGTGACAGGCGGAAAACCAGTTCAAGGAAAAATAAATTTTCCATGCCAAAAATTCTTGGACTTTGTTTTTAGGAAATTGCATACTTTGGATTACATGTAAGGAAAGTACTAACAAAGCAAAAGAATCCTTGGCAATAAAGCTGTCCCAAAAAACGGAAGATTTTCTTAAAACATTCTATCTTCATGTACTGCTTTGTCTTATTCCTTAAAGATCCAAACAGCTATAAATTCTGAAAAAAATTATATCTCCTTGCTTATTGAAAACACAAAGAACTAATTCTGCAGACTAGAGTAATATTTACCCAGAAGGTTAATAATTCCTTCATTATATGCTGCAAAGAGTCTAATGGCATCTTTGAAGAGGAGCATGAAGGCAGCATTTATTACACCATTTGTAAGCTCGTTGCTATTGACCTAGGGAGATTAGAAAAGAAAATTAGCTCATCTGGATTGACATTTTATCAGAAAACTTCCGATTAATAATTAAGTTTCAATATTCTAACCCAAAGACCTGCTTTCCATTAGCAAATGGACTGTTTATAGAACATGGCAGCATTCCAAGTTAAATGGAACCTCTATCAGCATCAAAGATGACAAATTAAATAATCAAAGAAAAGCAGGTCAGCAAAAATACATGACTAATCTCTCACAGATTAAGAGGGGCCAAAAGAATAGCTAGAATAAGTTTTGTTTATTTAAAAAACTTCTTAAAGGCAAGTACCCCTAAATGAACATTAATGAAGTGGTCATCTTATTGGGACATCAGTACTTCAAATTAAGTGTACCAGCTACAAGGCAATGTTCCAGGTGTATTTTGCTCCTCAAATTAACTATATTAGACGGGACACAACATGTTAAAAATATGGAAGGGAATTTTACTTTGTATATATTGCATCACTTGTTTTCATAGCTTGTGAAAAGCTGCGGAGGAAAAGTCCAGCTGTGTTAATTGACAGTGTCTCTGATGTGTGCAGAAATTAAACTTACATTGAAGTCAAGAAGTGCATCCATCTGATTTTGTATAATTGGTACGGTTTTAAGGAGTTTTTCTGTGTTCATTGTCCTCATGACTCCATCAGCCCTATTATGCAAAAAAACAGAAAACAAACCACCAATTGGATTATGAAAGAATATTTTATTAGTTAATATGAAACACTGGAGCATATGAAACAGATCAAAAGAACAGCAATGCCAGAGGCAGCATATTCAGACGACTGAAGTAAGAGGCACGCCTTGTGATACTCAAGTTGTCTGGCCAAAAGAATGACAATCATTGTCCAGAAGAGCCATAGCCAACTCTTCTTGGCCAGAAGACAGCACCTGTGACGGGGTCTTCAAGGACTGATCTTTATTCTCTGAGACCAACAGAAATGGCCATGCTCAAAACTATTACACTACCTCACCCACCTTGTCTCTCTAAGATCTTTTAAAAGCATTCGTAAAAGGTAGGATTATAAATACACTGTATGTGGAAATCTGCAGTTACAGAAACACTGAACAAGATTTTACAATTACATTTGACAAGTTTTTTTTAATAAAATAATTGGATTTTTTTAAAGAGAATGTCAGTTATCTGGGTCTATTTAACTTTCATTTGGTTGATGTTTTAAACTAGATATCCAGAGAAGATACAAATGCTAAGAGAAAAAGAAGGTGCACTAGGAGCAAATGAACAATAAACAAGAATTATTGATAGTAAACATTTGCTTTCTACACTACACGGACTTAAAAATAACATTCACTTTATGTAAAAAGGCTTGATACCAAAGTCAAAACTTCTACCTCTTATAACCTCTTGCTTGTTCAAACTAAAAATCAGAATCCACTGGACTCTGCAGCACAAAAGGCTGAGGATTATTACAGCTGGAAAAAGCCAAAAATGTCAAGGAACGAACACCATCAATAACTTCCTCCTGTTAACAGAATTCCTTACAATTAAAAATAGTCCTCTTGCCTGTTGGTCAGCTGGTGAAAGAATGGTTAATTACCCTACATTAGATGAGCTTCTTCAAGAGGGGTGTCCACATGGATCACACTCTTGGTGCACGTGTGCCCCAGGCGGACAGATTGGTTTCTTTTCGCTAGTAGTGTGTGTTGGGGCCATAGTTGCACCCTAGATATTCTTGCCCACCCCAAGGGCATAAAAGACAGATCAGGACCAATCGTCCCTCAGTTCCTTCACCAATACAGAATCTCAGAGGCGTATGACTTTGCAGTAATGGGGAAGGAGAGCAGGTAATGGAATCCATGTAGACAAGATCTTTAAGAACCACAGTTGCTGTAAGTAACCATTCTCTCTGAGTAATGGTCTATAGGGATTCCACCTTAATACCATTAGATCGAGTGCATGAAGTTTAACATTCCTGGGACTAGTGTATAGTCCAATATAGCTGAATGGGTGCTGAGGGAAGACCGCTGGTGACAAGATGCCCAAATAGAAAGCCTCTTTCATTTATGAGGCTAATTCAGTCTAGTTGAGGCTTTCCTTTTCTGATCAACAGATTCTTTTGGGGGATGTCAGCCAGCCATGATCTAGGCTGTCAGATAACAACAACAATGGGTCCAGCTGTAGAATTTGATGGTTCTGCAAGGCTATTGGGCACCGCAGGCAAAGTGACTGGGGGCTACATTGAGATGTTGACCAGATCCGAATGCCAGAATTGCCTGGCCCCATCAGGGCAATCATGATTATCAATCATGTATCTTGCCTCAGCTACCTCATGACTCTCTGTAATATGGGGGTTGGAAGGCAGGCATATATCAGTGCAGGCATCCAGGGGATGAGAAAGGCATATGACAGGGAGCCTGCACTGGAAACCCCCATGGAGCAGAATATTTGGCATTTCTTGCTCTGGTCTGTTGCAAATAAGTCTGTTTGGATATCCCTACTTGCGGAAGATGCTCTGCGACACTGGGTTCTTGACCAACCACTTGTGGTTGTCTGAGAACTGTCTGTTGAAGTGATCTGCTAGCAAGCTCTGAACACCTGAAAGATGCAGGACCAGTGGCACGGTCCAGTGATGAATACACTAAGCCCAGAGCCAAATGGACTCCTGGCAGAGTGGTGATGACCTAACCTCTCTTTGTCTGTTGACACAATGCATAGTTGTGGTGCTTCATCAGCCCTGGAATAGCAGATCCATGCAGTTGAGACAGAATGCTTAGCATGCCAAGTGAATGGCTCAGTTCCAGGATATTTATGTGCAGATGAGCTCCAGGAAGGGACCACAGGCCCTATGTTACAAAGTGACCTAGATGAGCCTCTCTTCCCTGGGTTCAGACATTTGTCAGAGTCTTAGTCGGCAGAGGTGCAGAGAAAAGTACTCCATTGCACACCTGCAGTGGGTCTTTTCCAGTTAATGAGGACAGGACTTCTTGTGGAATCCTGACCAACATGGCTATATGGGGATCTGCTGTGTAGATACACTGATTTCAACTACCCTTGCCTGGAGACTAGGCAAAGTCTGGCAAGCTGTCTCAGAAGTATGAGGCTGTATGTCCCAGAAATTTGAGTCATGGTCTTACTGATGTCTTTGAGTGAGCTTGTAGTTGATGAGGTCCACTACGGTTTGGAGTCTTGTGGAAGGTAAGCTCTTGCTGACACTTCTTCTATGAGCTCTAAGCTTTGAAATAAAGTAAGTGTGGGTATTTCTCCAAGTACTTAGTAAACATGCTTGGTGCTGTGGGAAGACCAGTATCACCATCCTGAGCTTGAAATGATGAACAAACCTGCTGAGACAAATGCCCAGAATGGGACGTCACCAATCTCTTTTTTCCTTTGGTATGGAGAGTTCACGATCAGAGGATTTTATTCCCATTACTTTAAGGAGAGAGTCCACCTCTTGCTTCAATAGTATCTCGGTGGGATGAGGGAGCTGAAGAATGAAGGTGGATGCCTAACAACCATGAAAGGTTAATAAAAAGAGTAGTAAAAATTATTTTTTTTAAAAGCCTACAGGTAAAAGTTAACTACTTAACAGGTACACTAACTAATCAGTAACACCAACAGTCACAGAGAAGCAGGAGGACACTGCAAGGGTTCCTTCTTGCTGCTGCAGGAAGAAGAAACTGAAGGATGGCTGGTCCCACCATTTATACCATTGTGGGGGTGAGGGGGGCAAAAAGACACCTGGGGTGCAGGGTTGGCCCCAGCAAGTACTGCTGGCCAAAAGAACCAGATCTTGTGTAAATAGGGAACATGACCACCAAGAGTAGAATCCATGTGAACGTTCACTTGAACCATGGTTGATTTATTACTTCAACTACATTAGAGCCACCATGGCTTTAACGTATGCCATATCTAAAGCAGTTGCTTAACCAGCAGTTGACCACTGTATGCCATAAGATACGTAAATGGATCAGATGTCTTCCCCCAGTCCCCATCCCCAAAAGGGCACAATGGTCATTCTGTGTAATTACCATTGTAAAGTCTATAGTACTGTAATGTACTAACAGCCACTTTGAGAGCGGCATGAAGAAGGAACAGATGGTACAGCAAGGCATTTCACAAATGCGCACCTCCATAATCTTCTCAAATGGGATGCTTAGTTAAACACCAATGGTGCCAAACACAAGACAGCTTTCTGACATATCAAAGAACATTTTATTGGCCAGATTAGGTAGCTACCACCGGTTGCCTCAATCCGATGCACAGTCTGATTTCCATTTAATTTTTTTTTTCAAAAGACAGTGTTCCCCAAAATTTCTGAAGACAGACACATTACAACTCAACTGCACTGACATTTTTGGTGCATAATGCACAGAGTATATTGATCAATACCAGTGAAAAGATATTCAACTTGGTTATTTGAGAACAGCTTGTTAGTACGTACTGCAAGTCAGATCTTAAAGATAAGAAAAATAAAAACTACAGTTCTTACCCTCTTTTTACTTTGGTGAAGTCAAAAGCCACTTGTCTGTAAGAAACTGCTTTTTCATTCAGATACCTACTATACCGTCTGATAAATGTGGACATGTCATACCCTAAAAGAGAAAAGGTTTCAACAGCTTATCGCTCCTCCAGTCAATTTTTATACAAAGCCAATTATTCTGACTAGGCAATAAGATTACACTTATAGATTGTTTTTGTTTACAAGTTTTCCCTTAATCCACCAATATATAAAAACGGTTACAAAAGACTGGTCTCAATTTTTTTTGACACATAAAAATATTGTGGTGTTAAGAGCTATATCAGGGGTAGGCAACCTATGGCACGCGTGCCAAAGGCGGCACGCGAGCTGATTTTCAGTGGCACTCACACTGCCCGGGTCCTGGCCACCGGTCCGGGGGGGGCTCTGCATTTTAATTTCATTTTAAATGAAGCTTCTTAAACATTTTAAAAACCTTATTTACTTTATTTACAACAATAGTTCAGTTATATATTATAGACTTAGAGTAGGTCTACACTTACCCGGGTAGTTCGGCGTCAAGCAAATCGAACTTCTGGGTTCGACTTATCGCTTCTTGTCTGGACGCGATAAGTCGAACCCGGAAGTGCTCGCCGTCGACTGCGGTACTCCAGCTCGGCGAGAGGAGTACGCGAAGTCGACGGGGGAGCCTGCCTGCCGCGTCTGGACGGAGGTAAGTTCGAACTAAGGTACTTCGAACTTCAGCTACGTTATTCACGTAGCTGAAGTTGCGTACCTTAGTTCGAATTGGGGGGTTAGTGTAGACCTGCCCTTAGAGAAAGAGACCTTCTAAAAATGTTAAGATATATTACTGGCACGCGAAAGCTTAAATTAGAGTGAATAAATGAAGACTCGGCACACCACTTCTGAAAGGTTGCCAACCCCTGAGCTATACACTGTACAGTACACACCCTGAAAATCTGAATACATGATGTAGCAAATATCTAAAGATGTCACATAACTGTGTAATTTCCTTTACCGTCTGAAGTTAACCATCTCCTGGAAGTCAGTGAGCAGATTAAGTATTTTTATATAAATTTGTGGATACTAGCAAAGAAAGTGCCTATATATGCTTACTGATTTATTTGTTGTAAGATTTCTTAACTAGCATACATGTATGTACAAAAGTCTTACGTTTTCAGAGCAATGTCAAAGTCCATACATACTCTTTTAGAAGTTAATACAGCAAAATGCACTGAACTAAATTGACATTAATAAGTGGGAGTTTGCACATGCAAAGATTGTAGGATTAGACTGACGTATCTTAATTACATCCAAAAATCTTTCCTATGGGTGCAGGCCATGAAATCCTATCCTCTGCTTTATTCCCCAGAGGAAACACGGGAGTTAGATGGCAAAGGTCTCTTTTCATATTCTATGCCAGTCTACCCTTGAAAATTAAGTCTCAGCTTGACAGTTTTGAGTCATTTACCACAATGAAAACTGCTGTCCAAAGCAATCAGCAAGAGTACGTATATTATACTACAATTATGGCAAAACAAAATTGAAGCAGCTATATAAAGTGCAAAGTTGGAGACAAAACAGCTATTTCAGTACAGGCAAATTAGTAAATTTTTAAGAATAGCTCCATGCATGAACAGAATTACATGCAGCAGTGGGGAAACCTAGTAATAGGGACCAGTAACTGTTTCTTGCCCGATACCTACTCTAAACAAAGAGACATCTGACTGAAACAATTATAGTTTCAAGCAATTGGTCCCTACTACAGCATGTACAGGAGTTCATTTAGTTTGGGCCCTTTTATTTTGTTATACTTCTCCCAGCCTTGCAGAATACATGAAAGTGAGTAGCTCAGGCACAAAGATGTATTTGTCTACCCTTTACCACAACGATGGATAATTTACAAATGTTATTTCCTTGTTAAAAATTTTATTTACCCCTTCCTTGCAAGGAGGCAAGTAGAATTTTGCAAAATGGAATTCAATCATTCTATAATAATTAATAATAAGCAGTATAATAATAACAAAAATAAAATAATAAAAATAAAAGGAGGACCCCAGTGTGTGAGGTAGTATGTGTGAAGTTTTTGGTGTAGAGCAGCGGTTCTCAAACTGTGGGCCAGGACCCCAAAGTGGGTCCCGACCCCCTTGTAATGGGATCGCCAGCGTTGGCTTAGACTTGCTGGGGCCCAGGGCTGAAGCCCGAGTTCCACTGCCCGGGGCCGAAGCCAAAGCCTGTGGGCTTCAGCCCTGGGTGGTGGGGCTCAGGTTGCAGGCCCCCTGCCTGGGGCTGAAGCCTTTGAGCTTCAGCTTTGGCTCCCTGCCCAGAGCAGTGAGGTTTGGGCTTTGCCCCCCCTTCCCACCCGGGCAGGCTCAGGCTTCGGTCCCCTGTCCTGTGGTCGTGAAGTAATTTTTGTTGTCAGAAGGGGATCACAGTTCAATGCAGTTTGAGAACCCCTGGTGTAGAGAATACAATACAGTCTGATCTGATCAAATCATTATCTTTGGAGCATGACCTGTCTCTTACTATATGCTTGTACAGTGTTTAACCCAATGGGATTCCAATCTCAGCTGGACCTCTATGCAACATTAATAGTTTTTGAATTGATTTCTTCCCTGGTAGAATTGATTTCTTCCGACCTGGAAACTGAAAATTTTATTTCATATTTATTCATTTAATTAATCCTACATAGGCATGGGGATAGGCTGGATGACCACCAACTTAAATAAAAATTAAGTGCTATTGGTCTTTTTGTTTCAACCAGTACCAGCCAGTATCAAGAACAAATCTCTCCTGCCCCATGTTGAAACTGGAATGCATTATGGGAGTTTTAACCTCTCATTTTATCTTGTATTGGCTGTTGTTGAAAACTGGTTCAGAACTATAATAAATAGCATGACTAAAATCAAACTTATATAAGATAAAAAATTATATCTATTCTTTCCATGTGGCACTATTTTCTACAATGCCACAAATGCTAGTCAGTTGGAAGATTATGAATGACATCCACAGAAGTGTTCTAAAATGAAGAATTTCACTTCTTGGAATGATATGCAATTTTTTAAACTACTGAAGAGAGGCAGTTCATCATAACTTGTGAAAATACAGTATTTATTATTCCCTAAAATACCATGTTAGTTTTTATAATGAAGATACCTTACCTTGCAATCCACTTTTGTCTAGGAAATTGCTCAAATTAAACAGTGTGTTTCTGGAAGCTAGATACTGGATAAAACGCTAGATGGAGAAAAAAAGATTTTGAATCAATAAGTTATTGCTTTGCTGGAATTTTACTTAATTCTGCACTTAAAAACAGTTTAGTTAACTCAGTGCTATCAAACTTTCAAAAAATTTGTAGTGTAACTTGCAAATAACACAAACAACCCCTACACTTCTGGGCAAAGCTGTAAGTGGAGGAATACAGGGTTTAACTACTATTTAACTGGTATTGGTGAAGGATTAAAGGACCCTTTGTTCTAAACTAGAATTAGCCACAAGAGGGCAAACTTCTCATACAGGCATTAAAATTAGATACAAGGCATTAAAATTTGGCATTACAACTTTTTTCTTCAAACATACTCTATTTGTAGAATCTTTCTGCACAGCTGGTAGCAATTTTTGAGCTAAATAAATACAAAGATATACTGAATGCAAATCAATTTCAAGTTAGGATAACTGATGGTATGTAACAATCAGTTTGACAAGTTGCCTTCCAACTTGCAGACGATTTCTCCTTTACTTAGGAAGTAAACCTGGCAATTCGAATGCCAAACCAATTTTATGAGGATTATGAGGCTAACAATATTTCTTATGATGGAACTTTTTGGTAACTAGAAATGACAATTGTAAGATGAAACTCCTAAAAACCAGGATCTAGTGGTCTTTTTAAGACTAGGCTCAGATCAAAACCTCTAAACAAAGGTTGTAGAGCATCCTGCAAGAAACTTGAAAAAACTCAACTTTGGTTTCGAAGTCCTTGTGGTCTGTTCCAATTTAGTGCTGGCTGTAGAACAGTCTTGTGATTCTTTGGTTCACATTGCATTGGTTTCATGAAGTACTTATTTGAGGTCTGATTTTCAAAGACACTGAGCACCTGCAGCTTGCACTCACATTATTTGGCATTGGGTGCTCTGCACCTCTCAAAATCAGGCTTTTAGTTACTACAAATAGCGAAAGTGTACATTTTAACAATACATAATCCTATGATTGCCTGCTTTAATGGAAGTGAATTAGCAGTAAAATTATTACAGACCTGAACTCTTCTGTTTCTCAGTTGCTTTATTTTGTCTCATTCAAAACATTAGCAGAGACTTGTTTTTCATTTGGTTTACTTTTGTAGCAGAGCTCTACACAAGGAATTCTGGTTCACGAGACAAAATCTCCCTACCCCCACATACACGTCAGATGCTCTGACATGTACTGGCAGAGAACTATACTATTTTTTTTTTACCAGATCAGATTAGCAGTAGTCACTCTATGAAATGTAAACCTTTCAACTGAAAATGAGTGTCTGTATTTCAAAACAGATTACTTAGACAGAAGCATGTTGCTCTGCTCTAGCTGAAAAAAGGGACTCATTTTTCAGTGTGCACATTGTGGTTGGGGCGGGCTAGGGATCATGCCTCTGTAGAACTTTTTTTCCCCCATATCTGTTTTACGGTGTATAGTGTGCAGCCACAGCCAAGGTCTCTTTCAAAATTTCTTAATCAGTTACCTCTCACATGTGGTGGCTTCCAGAACCGATTGTAGTACAAAGGCTTTCTTCACTTATACTGCCTACATCAACACTTTGGCATTTGTAATCAGGGTATCAGTAGATTACCAGGAAATAATGTCTACCTGTACCAAGAAGTGAGCTAGGGGTTTCTTGACAAGCTTTATCTTTAGTTCCCTGTACACTTAGGTTAAATTTAAAATATTTACCTGAATGTTGTTTAATTTAATTACCTTTAAATATAATTATGGGATTTTATTTAAGAGATATTCAGCAGCATGAAGATTTACTATTAATACTACATAAAGATTCTTATTCACATTAAATAAATTCAGGAACCTAAAGGAGAAATTTTCTTATCAATTCAGGTTTCATCCTGTCTAGTCTGTATCTCATACTTTAGGAATTGCATGTCTAACCAACACCAGTACTGTATTTGGCCTTCTATACTGAAGATCACATTTTCTTTCTTTCCATTCAAAACATTTTAGAAGAGCAACTTTACTGTACTCTTCATGGATTATAAATCATATTTCAGAAGATTAGAGAGACAGGCATTTTATTCCCTTTCATTCCCCGCCCCCCCCCCCCCCCCCCCCCCGCGACCTCCAAACCATGGTGGTGTTAATTTTCATCAGTAAAGAAACCTCTTCCCCAGCCTTCTAAGCAGCCACATGGCTTTTCGTACTTGTACTCTCAATGCTACATTCTAGCCTGCACAGGATTCTCTTGAGGGGAAACTGTCCAGAAGTTGTGAAATATTTGCTTAATCCTGCTATTCTAATGACCCTTTCAGCATTTGTTTAGGATTAAATACTGTTAAATCCCTACTGGGCACATGTATGCTTCAGAGTCCCTTTGAAGAAAGGAAGAGTTTTTTGCTAGCCAGTAAGAAGGGTTGCTATGAAAAGAATTCTGAATACTGACTCGCTCAGCCCTATTTTTAGTCTCTTTAGAAGTTTTCCGATGTATGAAGAGTGAAGAGGAGAGCTAGGTGGAGAATGGTCATTCCATTTTGTGAAGATCCTGGGAGCGCTGGGTCCAGGGCAGTTTATCAGGAGGGCTGAAGAGGAAGTAGGCAGGTAAGCCCCCAAGAAGCCTGCCTTGTTTCTGGCAGAATTTCACTGATATTGAACCATATCTGTGAAACATTTCCATTTCAACAAAATAACAAAAAAGTTTTGTCAAAATGTTTCCAACAAGCTACAGTGAAAAGGCATCAGGATTTGGAGTGAGCTGAATAACTTGCACCTATGGGAACAAATTTATTTCCTCTTCCTCCCTGCTGGTCTGAGTAAGGGTATTACCTACTACACATATTACAAATGTCTTCCTGAAAGTCATCCATCACATAATTTTTCCTTATGTGCTAACTTTAGAAGAAATGAGATGGGCAGAAAAGCCAGTGCCATTGGAAAAATGAATTTTGAGGCAGCAGTTCAGTGAATTTTCAAATCAAGTCTCTTTGCTAAACGGGATTCAGGGCCTGGAAGAAGTTACATCCTTATTGTAATCTCTAGTTTTATCCATTGCAGCTAATTCTACAGCTCAAGGATGACATGGATTCATTCATAGGGTAAAGATCTTGATAACTGCCCTGTTGCAGGTATGTTCATAAAATTAATGCTAAATCTTGTCACTGAGTATTTCTGTCTCTGAAAACTGATCCCCGAGAACTGATACAACAATTAATACGCACTAGTGCTGAGTTTTGCTAAGCTATATGTGTGGAGTTATAGGTTATCATCACTTGGTGGTAAGGGTCTTTTCCCCCCACTCATAACTCTTGGCTTTTTGTAAGTGTACTATCTGAAAATACCATTGTAACCTAAAACATCATGCAGAGAATGGTTATATGGACATTGTACTGGGTCCAAATATACAATGTATCAGATAGGACTATAACAGAAAAATTCTGTTTTCAGCTGAAGTGACTGATTTTACATAGCTTGGGGTGAGGAGGGGGGCGTGATAGCCTTGAACATTCCAAACCTAGGCCAATTGAATCTCCATTGAAGTTCCAAGGATTAGACCACTTTCAACACTCTAATATGACAAGTAGTCTGTCTGGGAGTAGAATTTGTTTTTGAAAATTCCTGCTGGTCTAATTTAAAAAAACTGATGTTTACAAAAGGGCGAGGAAAAAACAAGAAATAATTTAAATCATAGCTAGTGAGCAAAATAGCTGCATTTTCTTCTCTCCCTAGGACACTCCTCACAAAATCCACAGTATTGGGACCCATACATGGAAAATATTTATCAATGATTGAGTATAAATGGGATTAGAATCTTAACTATGATGATTCTTGCTCACATGAACAAGATTAAACTGTATGACCCATGAACAACTCAATGCCAACTGGCAACGGGGTTACAATAATATCCTGATTCTGGTAAGTACATTCTGGTTCATCAAAGAATGCCATGCGAGGTCTTAAATGAAAACAATGGTCACATTAGTCATTACTATCGTTGTGAAATGTATCTACAGACACTATGTAAGGAGCTATGTATGTATACTGAAAATATGTTCTTAAGAGTCTGTATCATAGCAGAAGTGGAGAAACAGGTTTCCGGTCACAAAAAAAATGGTTATTCACCTGTGCGCATGTAAAATTAAGCATTGTAAGCTAACACAATGGTGGCCAATTTACATACAAAGTCAACAGAAATATCAAGTCAAAAAAGAAAGCATACAGAGGTGGAAGGCAACCTTATCTTGAGATACACTTCAAAGGTTTGCTGGACTATCTGGGGAACAGAGAAGACACCCTGTGATCCCGGACCTAGGAAGTAAAAGGGCAGTGCATTTACATTCGTGAAACCAGTCTTAGTTGAAATGCTGCAGAGGACACTTAGGGTGAGAAAAACTTCTTTAGACTGGAGGCTAGCCTGTTAAGTCAAGTCTAGTCTCTAGAAAGCGTGTTATGATTTTGTTTTATAGGTAATCTTCTTGCTTCCATTATCCTTACTACCTCTTAATTCTTGGATAATAAAAACTTAATATTGTTTTCACTATAAATATATCTCAGTGCTGTGATATTAAGCAAGAAGCTGATCCTGAGTTGAATCATACAAGCTGCTGTACACACTGTTCCTTTGGGGACAGCAGATGTGGTATTTCTGTGAGCATTCAGTGGAAAAGAGGCTGGACACTACAGGGGAACACTTCAAAAAGACTGGAGGACTGGGTATACCAATTGTTAACCTGAATGGCAAAATAAGGGCTGGCATAACCCAGAGGAGATTGTTTGGGTGGCTAACAGGCTGGTAGTATCAGGAAGCCAACATCCAATTAAACACAAGCAAGTCTCCTTCATGCTGTAGGCTGGGGGTAACAAGGTGACTCTCAGTCCTGGGTACCCCAAGAACTATCACAAACTGATTTCCAAATTCAGTGATAGGAAAGAAAATTCTTTCCTAGCATATTGGCAGGGACTACTAGGGAGGAAAGAGCTTCTCATCTTCTCTGCCCACACTGAGCAGAGATAATTTGCTGGGCTCAGCTGAAACTATCCCACATACATTTCCCTGAAATTCTAAATGCCAGGGTGCAGGAGAGATAAGAGCCTGTGGATTTCAGTCCTTCCCATCTTTTATTTATATTTTCTCCATTAGACTGATTTTATCATTGCTCATTACATACTTTAACTGTGCAAATACAATATGAACCCTTTATAGAGGCATTTCAATAGTCAAACATAATGGGCTCACAGTAGATCGGGGTGGGCAAACTACAGCCTGCGGGCTGCATCTGGCCCACCACGGCCCTCCAGCGAGGGAGCAGGGTCGGAGGCCACTGCGTGCAGCTCCCGGAAGCAGCGGCATGTCCCCCCTCCGGCTCCTTTGCATAGGGACAGCCAGGGGACACCGCTCCACACGCTGCCCCCCGCCCAGCGCCACACCCACCGCTCCCATTGGCCGGGAACCGCGGCCAATGGGAGCTGCAGGGGCAGCACACAGCAAAGCTGTCAGGCTGTGCCTCTGCATAGGAGCTGGAGGCGGAACATGCTGCTGCTTCTGGGAGCTGCTTGAGGTAAGCGCTGCCCAGAGCCTGCACCCCTGACCTCCTCCCACGCACCAACCCCCTGCCCCAGCCCTGATCCCCCTCCCACCCTCCAAACTCCTCGGTCCCAGCCCAGAGCACCCTCCTACACCCCAAACCCCTCATCCCCAGCCCCACCCCAGAGCCTGTACCCCCAGCTGGAGCCTTCACCACCCCCCACCTGTCCCAGCCCAGAGTCCCCTCCCGCACACTGACCTCCTCATTTCTAGCCCCACCCTGGAGCCTGCACCCCCAGCCAGAGCCCTCACTCCCTCCTGTACCCCAACCCCATTTTCATGAGCATTCATGGCCCACCATACAATTTCTATACCAGATGTGGTCCTCGGGCCAAAAAGTTTCCCCAACCCTGCAGTAGATCCAGAACAGTTTTCCATTCACATTCTGACTCAGTTAGGCTTGGTCTACATCGTTCAAGGCTGTGAAAAATTTTGCAGCCTGAGCACCATAGTTAAGTTAGTCTAATCCCTGATGTTGATGTGGCTAGATCGACAGAAGAATTCTTCCACTGACCTACTTACTGCCTCTCAGAGAGATGGCAATTATAATCGACAGAAAAACCTCTTTAGTCAACACAGAAAGCTTCTACACTATGGCGCTCCACCGGCTCAGCAGCAGTGCTATAGCAGTTGTAGAATAGGCATGTCCTTAGTATCTGAGGGTCTTTCAATTCCTGTGCAGATACTAATGGAACCAAAGAGTAGCGTTAATGGCTTTGTAGAATCCCATGAAAAGTCAGAAGGTATTTTTCTATTTTTTCCTTATGACAATATATACTATGAACTGTATGAGAAATTTCATTTCAATTGTTTCAATGTAAAAGAAATTTGACTGAACATGAAGGGGAATCTGAATATTGCCCATACCATACATATTATATCATGTATGGATTATACACAGTAGCCACTTTTCAAACTTAATTTTTAAAATTCAAATGGTAGTTTAAGAAAAAAAGGCCTCAAAATGTCTACTGTGCTATACATCAACAGAGCTAAAATTTTACGTCTTTTTTTAAATGTAGGAAGTTCACAAGCCACAGTTCATTTGGGTTAAGCATCTTAAAAAATAGGGCTGTATCATGGAAACACCACAATACCTATTTTGTCAAGGTTTCTGTGGAGAACTGAGGGCATGTAGCAGGATGGGGCTTACTACTTTTTTTAAAAATCAGCTGATATGTTAATTTTATTATTTTGGGCCGTTAGCTCATATTTAATTGATTGCAAACTTAATTGTTAATTATGGGTGCCTACTGCTCACATGTAAACATTCTTCATATTTTTAAATCAAATATAAATAAAAAGATGGTTGGTCCCTAACTAAAAAGTTTGGAAAAAACATACAATTCACAAACAATTCTGACTATAAAGAAAAAGCCTGTTTTGTCAGAGGCATGACTAGGTGACCTAGTAAGTCTCTTTCATCTTATGTCATACTTTTTTTTATTTTATTTTATTTTTTTATTTCTCTGAAATTTTTTTTAATGATAATAAAAACAATACTGGCATAGAAAAGGAACCCTCTCTTACAGTCCTCTTACTTCCTAGTAAGTAGAAGGGCAGAAATATTGAAGATTTTCTTATAAAGGTATCTAGTCAAAGACACCTCCATGATGTATCTTTACAGAAGAGATACGATTTTTGTACTAAAGAAATTGTATTACCTCATTTCCATACACCATTAGATGGTGAGTTGTGATGAGGGACTTGAAGACCACCACCCAGCTACTATTGGTAGTTCTTTCAAATAAGCTGTCCGCCAGCTGGGGGATGTTCACATTCATCTCATTTGTGCACTGGATTAAGTCTGTAGTAAAGAGAATTGATTATTGTTATTTTACTTGTATATTTAGTATTCTTGAAGCTTCGTTATCATGATGGTACACATATATTTCAGTTTTTCATTCAATGGAGCAATCTAGAGATTATGGAGCCTTTCCCTGAATACCTCTGATTTAGCTCTCAAAGGTTTTCACTCTGTGGCCCACTAGGAAGATGTCAGAGAGCTGCAGTTTGAAAGCCTTTAAAGTATTTAATTCATCCACAGAATAGACAGTATGAATAAAAATAAGCTTCTCAAATTTATTCTAAAAAGGACATTCTGCAAGTAAGAGTCACTTTCCTTGCCCATTTAATCCTTGGTGTTTGCTTATAATGTTACTATACCATTAGTTAACTGTGATGGCAATTTTCATGATTAACACCTATCTACTAGAAACTGAACTGAGATTATCAATTTCATATGGATCACTGAAAAGCCATGCAATGGTAACATTATCATCACTGACACTGGCTAGACTCAAACTAGTGAGCTGGATATGAAAGTCTTCATATCCTGTATTCAGGTCCCTGAGTCATGTAGTCCCCTTCCTAGGGCTCTTCTTTATGTTATTTCTCAATAAAGAGTAGGGTTGTGGTTTATTTGCAGATAACTCACGCGATTTACTCAAAAAAAATTAATCGCAATTTTAAATTAGTTTTCTAAACTAAAAACTAAAAAAGTTTTAGATTAGTTTTAATCGCACTGTTAAACAATAGAATACCAATTGAAATTTATTAAATATTTTGAATGTTTTTCTACATTTTCATATATATTGTATTCTGCGTTGTAACTGAAATCAAAATGTATATTTTTTATTATAAATATTTGCACTGTAAAATAAGAGAAAGTATTTTTCAATTCACCTCATACAAGTACTGTAGTGCAATCTTTGTTGTGCAAATTACAAATGTAGATTTATTTTTGTTCCATAACTGCATTCAAAAACAAAATGTAAAACTTCAGAGCCTACAAGTCCACTCAGTCCTACTTCTTGTTCAGCCAATCACTAAGAAAAACAAGTTTGTTTACATTTATAGGAGATAATGCTGCCCTCTTCTTCTTTACTTCACCAGAAAGTGAGAACAGGCATTCGCATGGCACTTCTGTAGCCAGCATTGGAAGATATTTACAGGCCAGATATGCTAAACATTCGTATGCCCCTTCATGCTTTGGCCTCCATTCCAGAGGACATGCTTCCATGCTGATGACGCTTGTTAAAAAAATAATGCATTAATTAAAATTGTGACTGAACTCCTTGGGGGAGAGTTGTGCATTCCCTGCTCTGTGTTTTACCTGCATTCTGCCATATATTTCATGTTATAGCAGTCTCGGCTGATGACCCAGCATATGTTCATTTTAAGAACACTTTCACTGCAGATTTGACAAAACGCAAAGAAGGTACCAATGTGAGATTTCTAAAGATAGCTACAGTACTCGACCCGAGGTTTAAGAATCTGAAGTGCCTTCCAAAATCTGAGAGGGAGGAGGTGTGGAGCATGCTTTCAGAAGTCTTAAAAGAGCAACACTACGATGCCAAAACTACAGAACCCAAGCCACCAAAAAAGAAAATCAACCTTCTGCTGGTGGCATCTGACTCAGATGATGAAAATGAACATGCGTCGGTCTGCACTGCTTTGGATTGTTATCAAGCAGAAGCCATCATTAGCATGAACTCGTGTCCCCTGGAATGGTGGTTGAAGCATGAAGGGACATATGAATCTTTAGCGCACGTAAATAACTTGCAACGCTGGCTACAACAGAATCATGAGTACACCTATTTTCACTTTGAGGTGATACTGTAAATAAGAAGTGGGCAGCATTATCTCCTGCAAATGTAAACAAACCTGTTTATCTGACTGATTGGCTGAACAAGAAGTAGGACTGAGTGGACTTGTAGGCTCTAAAATTTTACATTGTTTTTGTTTTTTAATGCAGTTTTTTGTACATAATTCTACATTTGTAAGTTCAACTGTCATGATAAAGATATTGCACTACAGTACTTGTATTAGGTGAATTGAAAAATACTATTTCTTTTGTTTTTTTACAGTGCAAATAATTGTAATAAAAAATAAATATAAAGTGAGCACTGTACACTTTGTATTCAGTGTTGTAATTGAAATCATTATATTTGAAAATGTAGAAAACATCCATAAATATTAAATAAATGGTATTCTATTTTTGTTTAACAGCGCGATTAATCACAATTAACTTTTTTATTCGCTTGACAGCCCTAATAAAGAGTACTTTTTCCATGTACACCATTGACACATTTTTCAATTTTAAGCCATTCTAAAAGGAACAAATGAATCATCCATCTTTCCTATGTGCGAAAACCACTCTTGTACAAAACATAATTTCTGCATATAATTATTTGGGAAAATATTTACTTTCGGCTTCTCTCTCAGCTCAATAAAAGCAGCAAAAACAGGCTTTAAAGTTTCCAGTTATAATATCAACACAGGGTTTGTGAAAGTTAATATTAGAATTGAGAGTCCAAGCACCAAAAAGAGGATTGGTGGTTTGTTTTTTGTTAAATGACATCACAACTTGTGCATATATGATTATTTTAGATATACGGGGGAAGCAAGAAAGTGTAATTTGGTGATTTCTTTTCTCTTTGTCTATTGGAAGTGCAAAGGAGTTTCTTGTGGAAATGGAATCTATTTTTTCCATTCATTACTATGATGTAGGTTAATGCAATTTTCGTTAATGGGATTTTTCCCTTGGTTTTCAGGAATTGTGTGGGTGGGTTTTGCATGTAGCCAACATTAATTTCAGAAAAGTTATTATACTGAACGCAAAAAAATTAGCATTAATGACACAAGTTAAGAAATCAAGTTAGCCATTGCAGAGTAGAGGCTGAAAGTCTGACCGTAACTCTTGTGCTAATTAAGTTTTAAAATATGTTCTATTTCACAATTGTGTCTAATACAATGAAACTGGGATTTACTTATAGTAAATTACAAATACACCATCTTCAGATATGGTTTGATTTTTCTAAAGGCTTAATGGGACTTATAAAAACATGCCAAGTTTGAACACAATATGGTCAATAGTTTTACAGGAATTAATCTTTAAATTAATCAGATTTAAATATAGTGTCTAAAGAAGAATGCATTCAAGAGACAGTAATCTATAGCAAGAAATATACTTGAAGTTACACTGGTCCTGAATTTTCTACCTTCAGGAGCAGTGCGAAAGAAAGCCCTGGTTGAACAAGAAAATAGCACCCAAAATAATCACTAATGTACTGAACTACCATTTACAAAATCCAATGTTTTGTACCATTGAAAAGCTGGGCTTTCCAATGAAATAAATTATTTCTTGTAAACTACTACAGATCTTGCCATGTCAGACCTTAAAAAAGGTTCACATAATTCCTATATAATTTATATTCTCCTCCCACTGCCAACATTTCAATTCTACAATGACTTTAGTCGTTGCCTTTAAGAAGCCCTAGACAAAACAGCAATTATCTAAAAGCAACTTGGGACTCCCAGCTTTCAAACTGTACAGAGCATTAAATGGCTATCAAGGGGTTCACACGTGGTATCATTACTTAAGTCTTGTCCAAATTTACAGGAAAAAAAGATTGTGACCAGCGTTAGGTGATCTTAAGGTCTGATACCTTATAACTTTGAATAAGTATCGGGGGTAGCCATGTTAGTCTGGATCTGTAAAAAGCAACAAAGAGTCCTGTGGAACCTTATAGACTAACAGACATATTGGAGCATAAGCTTTCGTGCGTCTGCCGAAGTGGGTATTCACCCACGAAAGCTTATGCTCCAGTACGTCTGTTAGTCTATAAGGTCCCTCAGGACTCTTTGTAACTTTGAATAAGAGCATTTAATGGATCAACTTTTTCCCAATGGGTCAGTAAACCTTTTTAAGAACTGTTCCCAGCCCAGCAATCAGAAAAGATTTACGATTTTAATCTTGGTATAGGTTTAGTTTCTGTAATAATGCAATAATCAAACAACACCTTCCCACACCCAAAAAATTCATAAAAAGGCAGCTAAGTGAAACAACGTGGCTCCAACTACAACTTCAGAAGTAAGTAGAATTTAGTTAGTGGATAAATCTGTGATTAACTGAGGACATGGTATAAAGCTACTCTAAGAATTCAAGGTTGGGTACAAGGGCCACCTGAGCTTTGCCCAACTGAGTTCAAGGATAGAAAGTGGTTAAGCACCACAGAAGTGACTAAGCACCCAAACATACTATTATAGGGCAAGCTGATCACAATTAACATGAAATTCAGCATGATACAGTTGATGGGTCTTAGTGGCATTTTCAATGTTCAAAAAGTATCAAAATACAGTCTTACTGAAATCTTGTACCCCTACCAATGGCCAGGACAGCAGAGAGCACCATAATAAAACTCTGTTGTTCTTTTGCCCTTTGGCTGCTCCAGCTTATACTAATGCCACACATTGAAATTTGAACATAGCCTGGTGAAGGAATTAAAAATGAAGTCAACCCTTTACCTTATGAGAAGAGGTTTTGTATCTCCAAGTCTAAAAAACAGCCTTTCATCCTGAAGGATTCCAGAATGCTTTAGAAACGGGTACAGGGATCACTTCTTCCAATCAAAATGCAGCACTCTCTATGTGTATACTATCACCCCAGCAACACAATAAAACGATATAGGACAAGATAAAAAGAATACTCATATGCTAATGAAATTGCAGGATGAAATTAACAAACAAGATGTAATTACCAGATTTGAAATTTATTTGTGATATGGAGATTAACCACTCCACTCTTGTAGGTAAAACCTTCTATGACCACAAGCACTTATGCCCTCAATTTTAAGTCACATCTAAAAGTAGCCCCCAACAATAGTACTAGCCAGGGTGTATTTTTATTTAAATCAGATTTTTTTGGTAAAATGTTTGAGGAAAAACCCTATCTAAAGATAGTTTTAATTAAGATACATTATAGCTCAAAGATCTCATCATGGAATAGGGATTATAAATTCTAAT